CGGATGAGGTAGATGTCTGCATTGTCGGTGGAGGTGAGTCAATGGGCTGACACGATGGATATATATATTATATGTAAAAGTTTGGGCGGGAAATTGCTAAAAGATGACATGTAGGTCCCGCCGGCCTATGTGCTGCCATCCAGCTAAAAAAGCTGGCCAACGAAGCTGGAAATGAAGACTTCCGTGTACTGCTGCTGGAGAAGGCCGGTGAGATCGGGGACCACATTGTGTCTGGAAACGTCCTACAGCCCACGGCCATCAACGAGTTGCTACCGGACTGGCTGGCCGAAGACAACCCGAACCGCTTCGAGCACACTACCCCAGTGACGACAGACAAGATGCGGTTCCTGACCGAAAAATACGCCATCCCCATCCCAGCACCTCCGCAGATGAACAACCATGGCAACTACATCCTCTCTCTCAGCCAGTTGTGTAAGTGGCTTGGGGAACGCGCAGAGGAGCTGGGCGTGGAGGTATACCCCGGATTCGCCGCCAGCGAGGTTCTCTACAATGCCGACGGATCCGTCAAGGGAGTCGCCACAAACGACGTAGGCATCGGTCGAAACGGTAAACCGAAGGAGTCGTTTGAGAGAGGGATGGAGTTCCATGCTCGCGTGACTCTGCTCGGTGAGGGTTGCCACGGCTCCCTGACGAAGAAAGTGATGAAGAAATTCGACCTGCGACGGGACTGCCAGCCACAGACCTACGGCATTGGTATCAAGGAGGTATGGGAGGTCCAGCCAGAGAAGTTCCACAAGGGTGAGGTTACTCACACAATGGGCTACCCGCTACCCAGGGACACCTATGGCGGCTCGTTCATGTACCATTTCGGTGACAACATGGTCTCTGTGGGTCTGACCGTCGGATTGGACTACCCCAACCCCTGGCTATCACCCTACAACGAATTCCAGAAACTAAAGCAGCACCCTCTTTTCCGCAGCGTGCTAGAAGGCGGCCAGTGCATCGCCTATGCTGGCCGAGCCCTCATCGAAGGCGGCTTCCAATCAATCCCCAAATGTGCCTTCCCCGGCGGTGCCCTTATCGGAGATAGCGCAGGATTCATGAACGTGCCCAAGGTCAAGGGAACACATACTTCCATGCTCTCGGGCATGCTCGCCGCAAAGGCCACATACTCTGCCCTATCTGGCAATTCGTCAGATGGCACCATCTTCCTGTACGAGTACGAAGATGCTTTGCGCTCCTCGACCATCTGGTCCGAACTCAAGGAGGTACGCAATATGCGTCCTTCCTTCAGTACTCCACTAGGAGTCTACGGCGGAATCATGTACAGTGGTCTAGAAGCCTATATCCTCCGCGGCCGCGTTCCCTGGACCCTCAAACACCACAGCACAGATTCCGCTGCCACCAAACCTGCGAGCGTGTGCAAGAAGATCGAGTATCCAAAGCCAGATGGCGAAGTTACCTTCGACATCCTCACCAGCGTGAGCCGGACAGGCACCAATCACGAGGAAGACCAGCCCGTCCACCTCCAGGTTGCCGACTGGGAGAAGCACACGGCCGACGCTTGGCCGAAGTGGCAGGGTGTTGAGAACCGCTTCTGCCCTGCTGGCGTGTACGAGTATATCGAGGACAAGGACAAGCCACATGGTGTGCGGTTCCAGATCAACGCTCAGAAGTAAGTTGCATACACTCCCCATTCCCGTACCTCTTTTCCTTCTTTCCATCCCCTTTTCTTTTCCCTCCTAGTGAGGCCGGCGTGAGGTGGTTGGCGTTTTATCGGTATGCTAACTCGTCGTCTTCCTATTCCAGCTGTATCCACTGCAAGACGTGTGATATCAAGGTGCCTACCCAGGATATCAACTGGCAGACTCCCCAGGGCGGCGAGGGTCCCAAGTACTCCATCACCTAGGTTAGGTTAGGCTAGGTTGCATCCTTTCGTCCTTTTTTTATTATATATTTGAAAAGAAATAGGATACCACGCATTCAATTATCGTATATACCAGCCATGTACAGAATAGAGCTATCATAAATAAAAACAGAATGAATGGGAAAAAAAAAAAAAAAATAAAAGCCCTCTTTCGTCACCCTCATTGCCCATCTCTCTCCTGCCCATCTAAACCAGAATAACAAGGCAAGCGTTGGGTATCACGACTCTCGCTAACTGCTCACCAACTGCTGCTGTATGCATGTTCTCGTCGTCTGTGCCTGTGTTATCCTTAATAGTCGGTAGAGCGGAAGCCGGCGCTCGAAGGCGGACCACGTGAATGGCTTGAAGACGCTCAGTCAGCTTTTTAACTTCTTGCCTTCTTTTTCCTCCCCTCTCGCTTCGTCGTCTTCCTTTCTTCCTCCAAACAACAACAACACCTCCTCCACCATTAAACCTCCCTCCATCAACGCGTCTCTCTCTCTGCTCTCACAGGAGACGTTGTCGTTCAACAAGCAAGGCCGCTCTCCTAACCCGCTTGCTCCTTAGGACCTTCACCATGAGCGAAGTTTCCTCCACCCGTCTCTATCTCGGCAATCTGCCCCGTAATGGTACGCTGCTGGTCTTACTCCATCTCATCTCCGTCACCGTCACCGTCTACCCCTCTTGTACTGGATAAAATGGTATTGTTATTGGCAGACTGCTCTCTCTTCCATGCAGACTCGTTGAGTCTTGTTGTGTCCGCCTCCAGGACTCGGAGGAAGAGGGGGGACATGGGGAATACCAGCATATAAACAAAGTCACGCCTACATGGAATGGAGGAAACAACATCCAGAGAGAAGAAGGGCCATGCCATATATCATCCATACTGTTGAATGATACTGCTGTTTCTCCCCTCTATGCCCTATCCTGGTTCACAACATATGAGATAATCATGAATCTACTCCGGATCTTGGTGGCCTATACAGCTGACTTAAAGGGGCATCTTTTCTGCCTGGATTTTCTCCCTCCAGTCAATAAACAGGACATCGAAGAGCATTTCGGCTCCCACGGCACCGGAAAGATAACTGAGATTAAGCTGATGCAAGGCTTTGGCTTTATCGAATACGAGGATGCTATGGATGCAAAAGATGTCGTTCCTGGTGAGGACACCTCCGTGGTCGCGTTTACTTTTCCTGGATCCTTTCGTTTTCTTTTTCCCCCTTTGTCTTTGTCTGCTTTTTTTTTTTTTCAGTACTCTTGTTTCACCTTCAATCCGCGGAACAACGCCGTGCTAATACTGGAATTCGTCTTTCTACTCGCTTTCTGCTCTTCAGCTTTCCGTACGTGATACACTCCTGCTTCCACTCCTGTGTGAAGAAAATTGAGACATGAGTTCATTGGTTCCATGCCATGACTTAATATTATAACCAAGAGGCGATTCCCATCTAATGCATTTTAGATGGTACCGACTTCAAAGGTGAACGGCTCACGGTGCAATTTGCACGTGGGCCACGGCGTAGAGAGCCATTCCCTGGGCCTCCCGAACGGTCTGCTGCTCCTCGTCCACGACGAACAATATACCGTATGCAGATAACTGGATTGCCTGAAACCAGTTGGCAGGTTAGCTAATGCCCGATCCCGCTTCTCCCCTCCATGGACCCAGTGGAAATTCGAAATTTGCCGTTTAAGTTCCCTTCATCATGTATCAGCTTTCACCCGTGTTCTTTGTCGAGCTTGTGCTGGATTCGTCTCCTTCCCTCTTGGTTGATTCGTCACGCTTCCAATCTGGAGAGATGGCCTGGTCTGGCTTCAACCTACATGCTCAAATTGGATAAAAATACGGGATGTGGGAGGCTTATACAGACACCCTTGTTTCCAGGACACTAGGACTCACGCATCATACTCTTTTTAGGATCTCAAGGATTTCGCCCGCCAGTCAGGACTCGACGTCGTCTACTCTGAAACCCGTGACCGTGACGGGAAAGGGTTCGCATTTTCCCCTCATAACCTCTACTTCTCTTCCCGAACCAACAACCTTCTTTCTTGCCTCATGGAGAACTGACCAGGCATGACCTATGTCTCAAAAGATTTGTTGAATTCGAAAATGGCAACGACCTCCGGACTGCCGTCGAGAAATTGGATGGCACAGACTTCAAAGGCTCCCGAGTGACCTGCACTGCGGACGTAGGAATTCACCTCCCTTCTTCCCGGATTTGATGACATGGATTTCGCAGCTCAACTTTACATTTTTTCTCTCATATAGATTCAACCCCCCATGGAGGACCGTGTGCCCAGGGATCCATACCGTTCCCGCTCTCCTCGCCGTGGCCCTCCATATCCGCCAGTTGATGACTATGACAGACGAGGCCCACCCAGGGGCTACAGCCCTCGTGGCCATTACCGTGAGCGCTCTCCTCACGGACGCCGTGACTACTATGACCGTGACGGATACGGGCGCCGCTCGCCTCCTCGCGCGCGTGTAGATGACTACCCGCCACCACGCCGCCCATACGATGACCCGTATGACATGCGCGGCGGTGGTCCTCCCCGTCACTATGACGACCCTTACATGCCTCGTGGGGCTCCATTTGGAGGTCGGCCACGCAGCCCACCTCGTGGGGATTATGGAGGCTATGACCGCCGGGGCGGATACTGGTAGACTACTCTCTTCCTTTCCTTCCAGTTTCAGCTTTTTTATTTCGTACTTCCCTATCATTTTTGCATGACTCTCCAGAAGAGGCTCCTTGTTTTTTTGCATCGGTAAAAGAGAGAGAAGAAGAGAGACTGTTTTACCCCGTCCTCCGTCTTATCCTGATGCTTATTACTCCTTTTTTTCAAAGAGAAACAACAAGAGAGAAAAGGGTAAGAATCTGCTACCGACAATAACGTTTACCACCAATACCCCCGATAACAAAAACGAGCTTTCCTTTCCAACCAAAAATGCCAGCTTCAGCCATCCCGCCAGCTAGCGAGCCAGTCAGTCCACCAATCCAACCAGAGCCGGTCATATTTCTATTGACTTTGACGAAAAAAATACCTTATTTTTAACTTTCAAGAAATTGCGACAAAATTCTCACCTGTTAGCTAGACGGATACCCCCTTCCAGATCGTGCCATGCAAGCAAATTTCAGCAGCTTTTCGGATCTATCTCCTCGGTAACCGTTTCCCCCATTTTTTTCCCCTTTTACTATTCTTTTCTCCTTGATTTCACTTCCAGTATGACCTTCACAGCGTGAGTGGTTATCTCGATCTCGTAGCCTTCGGAGGATATTTGCTGTATGGAATAAGCTCAACCTTCTCTTCTCTCGTCTCATTGGCCATCAGTCTGCCTAAATTTCTGTCACCATGATGATGATGATCAACCCTTAACTCGATTTTCTCAGTCCTCTACCCCTATAAGCTGACGGCCATGTATTTTCCTGATTTCGTGCTCTTATCCTTTACAATCTGCCTATGTCAATGATGTTTCTGGGTGTTTGTTCAAGGTGGTCTTTTGGCAGGAGGACTAATATGATGGATGTATTGTCTTTTTGAACTTGCCATGAAACGAGTCTTTCGATGAGCTTTTTTAGCTTCTGAGAACGTTTTAACTGGAATTCGGAGGTCTTCATGATAGTTATTTTTATGTATTTAAAGTGCTTCGATAGTTACTTGAACGCGCCTACCAAGAGATGTACTATGTTGAATTCTCCATTTTCATGTACTTGGTAAATATACGCATTAATCTTTTTTTAGTCCATGAGAAAACATTAACATCAATATAAAGCCTTATTAGACCATCCAAAGTCTATCAACCTACAAACACGCCATACGGCAGCAATATATCAAGAACAATGGCCAAATCAATGTGTGACTACATACAACTGCGCGATGTCCAGCTTCCAGTCCCGGTATACTTGCAAAGAGACGCCTGGAGACGGACTAACAAGCCGCAACCAGCGACCTTCTCCGTCCGGCTCTCCTACCCCGCTGCTCTGATATCTCTCGCTGCAGAAAATGACACAGTCGGCCACACCCTCGACTATGGGACTCTATACAGGTCAATCGAGTCCGCAATAATATCCAGTAACAAAGATGCCATTCCCGATGAGAATGCAGGCGATCCATCTACCCGGCCCTCCCATAGCAAGGATATAGTTGACGTTGCCCTAACAATAAGCGACGCTGCGCATAAAGTCCTCTGGTCAGAAATAGGCGCTACGGAACATGCTAAAGACGACGCTGTATATCTGGATCACTGGTTTACAGAGAAGAAAGAGGAGATAACTGTGGACCTGCATCTTCCCAAAGCCATACTACGTGCTGAACGGGGGTTGTTTTGTACACTTGTTACGCGCAGGAGGCCTGTCAAAGAAGAGGATAATTTTATGGATTTTGACTTGACCGTGAGAATCGAGGGGATACGATGTGCTTGTATCATTGGGGTGAACCCTCACGAGAGAGAGGATAAGCAGATCGTGGAACTTGCATTGACTTTCCGACAGAGTAAGGGTAAGACACATATGATACCGAAAGAGTATCAGACCATGGTCTCCAAGGTAGCTGAGGTGAGTTTGCTCCCCGTGGAAGTTGACCTGTACATATGGCGATACTGATATAAGTGCTGCTACTTAAGAGTGTCGATAAAACCTCGTATGAAACGGTCGAAGCACTTGCTACGCATGCGGCGAAGATTGTTCTGGTGGAGTTCCCGCTCGACGAGGTGACGGTTAGAGTCGAGAAGCCCAGCGCCATGGCCTTTGTAGCGTTTTCTGGCCTCGAGATAACGCGCGCTGCCAGCTTCTTCGGCGTCTCTCGTCGGCCTGCATAATAATATCATCCAGCCTGGTCTCTTTCCCCTTTCGGCCATTTTTATATCAAAATCATGTGACCTTCAACGGATTAAATATTAGCCGAAATTTGTCCTCAAACTAACCAATCAGCGCGTGACAATTTGCTGCATGTGGGTGATTATCTAATCTGATTTTTTGTTGATGCTTCGATCTTTTTTCAACCTCAAAAGGCGAGAAAGAAAGGGATTAACAGAAGGAAAGACAAACAAACGACTAATTGGATATTTATACACATACTGCACTTTATTGACCACGACTGCTACATCTATGGGCCTGTCAAGAAACTCGCTACATATCGATCCTGTGGTACTTGGCTCCGGCCTAGTATTTGTTGCCGCTTCCATCATCTCAGCCTTGAGTGATAACGTGTGCGCAGTTCCAGTGGCCCCTCAACAGCTCAGCATTCTCGGAACAGCGGTGGATAGGGTGGTTTGGCTACCGGTGAATGGTCCGTCCTGAAAAAGGGCGGACGGTAAACTTGAAGATTAGCAAGCGGAACAGTCAAGTACATTTGCGAATACTTTGAAGATACTGAGTGTGAAAGGGCCATTCAAAAGGCCCGGAGCCAAAAGGTGAAGATTGTCCCTTCAACATATCCCTTAGTCAAGTTGAATGCTAATTTTTGCTGTGCAGTGACTCCAATCACCGCTAGCCACTATCCACCCTCAGCAGGTCACTGCTGCTGTGGGAGGTATATACATCTCCTTATAGCCGTGTCAGGCCAGGAGCCGATCCTAAATTATAGCCCACTTTCTTTCGGGCTACATGGCGAGACAGGCTCTGGAGAGTGATTTGCTATCTTTGCATCGTGTGGAGAGTAATAATTCTTCACCACGATGGCAACCTCAGGAGGAATTTGTCGTCTCTGACGTCTTCATGCCCCAGACACCTGAACCTGAACAGGCCGATGAAGCAGACCTTAGCCAGTCCTGGGCAACTGTCGTTAGCGAGAAAACGAGTACCACGAGCAACTTCCGTATGGTTCCAGGCGATGTGAGCCCTATGAGACCGAACCCTAAAAGTGGAGGTCTTAATTCCGTGAAGAAAAAGAAGAATAAAAAGAAGAAGCTGCCAAAGGATACAAATGCTCTCTCCCATGCTGTAGAGGCCCCTCAGCCCGGTTCTGAGACAACACCGGCTTATTTCAAGGATGGTCGTTCCTCCATCTCTCCACGGCTTCGCCCAGTGTGTGCTTTCAAAAACAATTTTGAATCCAGGCCCCCTTCATCACATGGTATTAGTGCGCTTAGCATTCAGCTGGACGCGCTTAATGTTGGATCTGCCCGGCCTTCAGGGTCCGAAGCTAGTAAGAAAGATTCGGAAACATCAAGTTGCGGTAGTGTTATCTCGGAAAGTGACCACACTGAGATTCTGACGACATATGAAGTTCCATTGGGAGACGACTTCGTCAGCCTTGACCTTAATAATGAAGGACCCAAAGCAATGGATGGTGCCGAGAAGAAGGCCATCCTTAACCGCAAGATGACCGCTTCTGACTTTGACTCATTGACCTGCCTTGGAAAGGGAACATTTGGAACCGTTCTTCTCGTCAAGCAGAAGGCTAACGGAGCCTTGTATGCCCAAAAGCAGTTTCGTAAGGCTTCTCTTACTGTGCATAAGAGGCTGGTGGAACAGACCAAGACAGAGCGGGCTATTCTAGAGAGCGTCAACCGACACCCGTTCGTCGTCAAATTATACTATGCATTTCAAGACCACGAGAAGCTATATTTAATCCTGGAATACGCACAGGGAGGAGAATTATTCACCCATCTTGCGATGGAGCGTATGTTTTCTGAGGAAACGGCTTCTTTCTATATGGCGGAAATGGTGCTTGCTCTTGAACATTTGCATTGCAACGTTGGCGTTATTTATCGCGACTTGAAGCCCGAGAACTGCCTGTTGGACGCGGATGGCCATCTTCTTCTTACGGATTTCGGCCTAAGCAAGGTCGCCGTCGACGATGATGACCGGTGCAACTCTTCACTCGGAACCATAGAGTATATGGCACCTGAAGTTATCATGGGCAAGCCATATGGCAAAGCTTGTGACTGGTGGTCTTTGGGAGCCTTGGGATTTGATCTCCTTACCGGCTCGCCTCCCTTCAAAGGTAACAATCATGCCAAAATCACGGAAAAGATCTTGAAGCAGAAACTGGTACTTCCGTACTTCCTTGGCCCTGATGCAAAAGACCTTCTCACGCGTCTTCTTCGCAAAGAGCCACAGAAACGCCTGGGGTATCATACATCCAAGGACATCCGCACCATTAAGTCACATCGATTCTTTAGGAAAATCGACTGGAAGGCCTTGGAAAAACGTGAGTTGGAGCCTCCGATAAAGCCTGTGGTGACGGATCCAGCCCTGGCTGAGAACTTTTCCCACGATTTCACTTCGCTACCTCTTAGTCCTGTCGTAACGACTAAGTCCGGGCCATTTTTAAGTGCCGAAGACGCAATGGACGTTGACGGCGAGGGCGCCACCGATAGCGAAATGGGAGGTACCCAGCCTTCCGAGGATCCTTTTGGTGGGTTCAGCTTCGTAGCACCGAGTAGTCTTCTTGAGAGTGGTCTTGCCATTGGAAACATGAAGTGGTAGATTGTCTGAGTCAGGCGACGTGAGATAGAGTCGTAAAGACTGAGGTGTCTGCAGTCCAGGCATATTTTCCCCTTTTGATTGATTTTTGTTAGTTCGAAGTGTTATTTTTTGTACCCGTATTTGGGGATTGTTTTGTATTGTTCTTTTTTTGTTTTGATTGATATAGCCAAGTGTTACCAAGAAATTGATACTTCTTAACTCGCCTTGCTATTATATTACGTATGGAGTTCTTGCTATCAAAAATGTCCAATGGAACCTTCTAGCAACGTTACTTGGCTACACACCGCAAGCGGGAAACGATAGCGAGTCTAGGGCGAGAAAAAGACCAAGAGTTTGCGTATTGAATGTAATTGGTTGAATTTTCATCTTTATCTATTGATACAAGGGGTATCCGCTTAATATACAAATGCCGATGCGCCAAATCCAATTATGCAATGAGGAAGATATATTTGTTGGATGGTACAGATTTTTAGAGACTAGAGTCTATTCAGACAACCTCTTCGCTGTCGATAACGGCGTTTCTGTCAAATGGCCTAATTTTCGTGCTGGATGTCCGTCAAGTTCCCTATTAATCTCTCGAAAATCAAGACCAAGACGCTCATATACCCTAGCACACCAATTCAAGACACGATTGACATTGTCTGCAGAGTGCTTTTGCGAGGTCAATGGTCCAGCAACAGGATAGGCAGGATTGTGTCCAGGCTGACGGTTAGAATTTTGCTCATCGAGTGCTGCGTTAGCGATAATTCGGACAGTTGTAAGATCTGGTACGACCAAGGGAGTCCTTTTAGGGTAGATGGACCTTGCGTTGAAAGGGAGGGCAGTTCGTATTCTCTGTTGTTTGCGGTCGCGAGATGCATCAAAACTCAGCAATGGGTCAATACAAAACTGATCCCATAGTCGTTTACCAGGTAAACAGCCTTGTGTGTCGACAATAGCAGCTAGGAGCTGGTTGAAGGCGCTAGGAGGAATGCGGTATTCAGGATCATAACGACGATCCCACTGCAGCTGTACCTCGCGGCAGGCATTAGACAACCTGCCAGGAATGGAACGGAAGACATGATGTAACCGATTCAATATAGCTTTAGAAATGTTTGGGTCCTTGGCATAGCTGTAGTGCTGGTTGAATTTCCCATTCAAGAGGTCAACCAGAAGGCTACATGCTAGTTCCAGAGCTTCATCTTGGTTTTTAGCAAGTACGAAGTCAGAGCTCGATTGATCCATGCTAGACGGCTGGCACTCTAATCGTATGATCACGGCTGCAAGAGACGTTATGTTTTCAATATCCCATTGTGAGAGCCTAATATCTCGGAGATAATGGAGAAGCTCTACAGCACCCTTGGAGTCACATTCTCCAATTCTCCAATTCAGCAACGCAATCAACGTCTGGCGGCGAAGAGGGCGCTCAAGTCTCTTAATAGTATTGGAATAGAGTTCACGGTTTTTTGTTGCAGTTGCAAGCCGGATCAGAGAGTCGGTAATAAGAAATCCTTCACGGGTACGAGATGTTGAATCTTCCAGAGCTTTTGCACATGCATGCGTTACCCAATCTGCAAGCCGATACAATCGAGAGGAGATGAGAGTATCAAGAAGCAAGGCCCAGGAAACCGGTGGAAGTTCAAGGTGCTCGGATTGAGCTGGGGTCCGGGCAATTCGAGACCGGCTAGAAGCTGTTTGATGAATCCTGTGTGCCATGACCAGATATTTTGGATCTAGAACTGATTCACGCATCTCGAAAACTTTAGCAGGATCGACTTCCCCCAGTAACCGTCCAAAGATATCGATTGTGCCTGAGGCGCGACCACTGGATGCATATATGTTCAACGCATATTGGTACAAACCTAATACTACCAGAGACTCAGCGGGCTTGTACTCTTGGAGGCCAACATTTTCATAACCAGCCTCAGGGAGGTTTATCGAATGTTCTGCGGGGAGAATGTACGAGGCATGGTTAAGTAGATGCCCAAGGGACTGAGGATCAGTTTCTGGCACAAACGCTCCGGTCTCGAGGATTCGGCCAATCAAATAGGTGAGTTCTTCCTGGGAGAGAGATAATTTGTTCCTACCCAGAAGTGCACGTAAAAGGCCTAACCGGGTCAAAACAAATTTGAAAGGATCTCCAGGACCGCTAGACGTGCCAGCATCGGCTTTGAGAGAATTTATGAGTCCCTCCATGACGGAATAAACCACTTCTTTGGTGATTGCCCGTTCCCCCATTCCTAGGAACGGACGATCCGAGCGATAAGAAAAGGGTTCGTCCGATAATACTCCGCACTCTTCCCAAGTGTCATACCGGTCCATTTTCAATGGATCGATTGGTCCTTTAGACTGATGCAGCGCGGCCCAACTCTGTATATTCCACGCTTTTGAACGACCACGAGACATTTGTAGTATCCAACTGGCCTCTGCTGCATAGCCTCCTTCGACACAGCACCAAAGAATAAATTCAAGCCATATACCAAAACCAAGAGGTCTTGACTTAAATTTTGACAATGGTGCATGGAGTGTAGAATCTGACTCGGACCCGTCGATGGCATTATCTGCCGCCGCAGCCTCCAAAGCTACACCAGACACTACGCTCAATATAGGATATGAGAGTAGCTGCATCTCTGGAGGTCGGTTTGGTAGAGTAGGATCGTAGTTTGAGTCATATTTGTATACACCAGAGGGTATCATGTTAAGATGATGCAGCTGGGCAACAACAAGGTGGAAATGTGACATAACTGAAGCGCTCTCCGTCTCGGGTAAATCCGATGCCTCAAGAATGAAGGAACCCAGGCTTTGCCAAATTTCACTCATTGCCTCGGCTCTTCTGTCTGCCTTTCCCGTCTGATGCTGAAGCATTGCCCCTTCAAGGTAGTCTTTGACTGATAAAGCGTCCCTGCCATCGGTATCAAGCCGCAATCCACTAAGTGAAGTGGTCTTCAGCTGATCACCAGATAATCTATCGAATGAGCCCAAACTACTCCAATCGATATTTGAAGGTAGTTCTCCTGGCCGGGCCAATGCCCGACTCTCGCTTGCGAAAGCCAGGAGTTTATTGACTACGACATAAAAATCCCGCCATCTTCCCAGTTTGAGCCCAAGTATTGTAAGAAGGTCAAACCCTAGCTGTTCCCGGGCTTGATATAAGAGCTCCAAAATCGCTTTACAATCTTCTTGCGCGCTCTTCGGGTCAATCGGTTCCGCCGCGGTAAGGCCATTATCCACATTCCGCGGGGGGATATATATTTCTAAACTTTTTATCCATTCGGATGGATCTTTTCGTAGCCCTGCTGGAGGAATAGGGTATGGTTTGCGCTTCGACGAGTCCTTCGATCGATGGACATAGTTGCGCCAGGTGCGGAGAGAAGAAGACTGAATTATTCCCAATGAGCATCGGTACGGCGTTAACAGTGGATAGAACACATGTCCCCGGGCTTGGAAACGGCTGTGGCCCAGGAGTATCCTTCGAGGCAGACAGATGCTCATGACACGGCCAGGGATCGATCATGGAGGACCTTGAGGTACTGATAAAATAGCGAGATCGAGATTGCGTAGCGGTCGCATGTCTGACCTGATCAATGCCCACAGATTTGATGCCCTGCAAGCATACTGAAAAATGGGGTTGACCAATTCTCTTGCGGCACTGGCGGAGTTGTATGTAGCTCGAGCTACTTCAAAATTCTTAGAGAAAAAAGTTGGTAGAAAAATATCGCTTAGTCATCATTTATAAGGTATCCAGGTCTGAAAAGAGAACACCAGGGCAATCAATGCTATTATTATATAGGTTAAATTCTTCAAATACAGGACGATGCTCCTAAAGTATATACAGAAGATAAACACCGGGCAGAACTCCATCGGTAAGTTCTAACTATAGACAATAGACCTAATCCCAAAGACGCCCTGAAAAAAGCTACCCGGCGCCAATAGAATGCTCCAAGCCGACATCAATCATGAAACAACAATCCAGCTAATCCAGCTAAAATCAATCATCCTGGGGGAGCATCTTCCTGGCCTTCCCCGCCGAGATCTTCTGCACCTAGTTCTTGTTCAACCTCGTCTGCAACGAAGCTTTCATAATCTTCCAGCCCCTTCTGCACATGGACTTTAAACTTGATAACATCGTTCAACATGCTTTCAATTCCAGTATGAAGCTCCTCGCGAAGTGCATTTGCTCGCAAAACAAGCTGTTCATGCTCAATGTTGGTATTCATTTCCCTCTGTTCCATCAATTGAACACTTTCACTTAGACTTGCACGCATTTTCGCGAGCTCCTTTTCCATCTTTTCAATTTGAGCGTCAGACGCTAGCTTCTGGGTTGATGTTATTTCCTTTGTCCTCTCAAATTCCTCTTCTGCAGCACGACGTCGATGTTCTAGGGCCTCCACCTCGCTCTTTTTCTCGTCCATAGCCTCTTTAATATTTTCAAGGAGGTCTCTTCTGTTCATATCTTCGTCTAGTGCAATCTTTCTTCGTTCATTGATTTCTTTGCGAAGGGAAATAAGATGATTTCGAACCACGCCACGAAGATCTAGGTTGATAAGATTTGTTGGGTGGTATCCCGTATTCGCATCAGCAAGTAATCGGTCACCTTCAGAGACAGCGTGGCTTTGAGACATCCCAAGTTGATCATTGATATTAAGGAAAAGTTCAAACTCCACCCCTTTGGCATTAGCAGTGGTAGAAGGAATAAGGCCCGCTTGGTAGGCGAGGGAGTTGTATGATTTGGTAACCTGCTCCAATTCTTCAAGCTTCATGTTGGCTTCTGATTCCTTCTCCATAACTTTTGCATGAGTCTCATCGAGCCTCACCAATGTATCCTCCACACTTCTCTGGAGCCTATCTCGCTCTGTACTCATGCGATCAATATCCTGGATTGTAATTCCTCGCTTATCAACGCTTGACTGCAGATTGATTCGGTCATCTTCAGTGGTTTGGAGCTCCAGATCGATTTTCTCCAGCTCCTCCTCCAAGAATTTGATGCGGTTTTCGTATTTATCAATTTTTCCTTGAACATTCTCGTTGTAGTCTTCAAACTTCTTCTTGTCATCTTCCAAAATTTTGAAGTGTTTATCCAACTTGGCAATATCAGGGGCATTCTTTTCAAGTTCTTCAAGTTGATCTCGGAGTAAACGATTTTCCTCTTCTAGCGCCTGGAGTTCTTGCACATACTTCTCATTTGCCTTCTCGAATTCTGCTGCCATAGTTTCAACGTGAGGGATGAGCCGCTGTTCTGCTACCTCGTCATCCTCATCCTCGCCACCTTGTAACCAGTCATGATATGCACCTGATAGGAAGCGGAATATTATACGATCACTAGTCACGTCAACACCTGCTTCTGCGCAGGCATAGTCATACTGATCCTGGTAATATCGATCTAGCATTTGAGCCAATTGCATCATCCAGTGCAACACACCCAAGAACGTATACCAGTTGGTGCCTCCAACTGCTGCAATTTGAGATTTTGTAATATTCTTTTCATAGGGGTAGCGCAGTTGCTTTAGGATAGGCGGAACCTCAGTGTCGATGTTCTTTTGGAAGCGATAGCTTGGGTCGATCCTCTTATACAGCCATTGGAATATGTAGTTAAAGTCCTTCTGGGTCGGTGACTTCAACGTATTCTGGGTTAAAGAATGTTTCATTTCCAGCTCAAAGTTGTTGCGTGTTAAATATTCTAATAATTCCTGGCTAATGCGCGCCTGGAAACTCCTGTCCCTCAGGGGTCGAGGATCTCGAGGCACACCCGCTGGGATGGATCCCTGTACAAAGAAAGATTGGTGAGCAGCAGAGGGGCCCATTGATGGACGCGATAAGACGCTGCTTCGTCGTTGTAGTTGAGGCGGCGGGGGAGGTGCCATGGACATTGGCGCATAGCTTTGACGGCCGGCATTTGCGCTATGGAGCACATTATGCGACACGGAACGTCGAACGCTCGATAGGCCGCCGTCTATACCGTAGTTTCCGCTGCTCGTGGACTGACGATGGAAAACAGGCTGCTGAGGCCGGCTCAGCGATGAGACGAGAGAGGAGGATCTGGCATGCTGGGACGTAAACGGCGGATTCTGTAAATTTGCGGCAGTGCTAGTTCGCTTGAGCGCAGAGGATGGCTGAGGAATTGAAGTATAATTCTGGACATTCCCCAGAGTCTATAATATCCGGATTAGTTAAAAGGTCATCCTGCAAAGGTCCATTGGGGGGAGGTGTAAACTGGGAAGGGGGAGTATACCTCTCGCGGTCTTCGGACACTGAAAAGCCCAGTATCCTGCGCCATGGCGGTGTGGCAGGGGCTTGCTACTTGTGCCAGGCAGCAGCTGGAGATATAACAAAGCGTAGCAGAGCAGAGACAGCGGCGACAACAAATGCCAGGCTCTTCTTGCGGCAGATATCTGTTTGGCGTCTGTGTCTCGTTCAAATAACAACAACATCGATAACAACCACGGCCGGTCAATATCAATCAACCCTTGCTTGTCCGCTTTGGGAAAAGTAAACAAAATCAAAGCCTGTGGAGTCTACGCTAGTCTGTATTTGGTATAGCTTATAACTCGACACCGGAGTATTAAAATGCCGATGATCACGGGACCGCGTCCTTTGGACCTCGGCTCGACGGGCGAAAAGCAAGCTTGGAAACGAAAGAGCAACATCTCGAGATTCCGGGGAAGAGAAAAAGACACGCAGCGCAGACGAGGACAGGAAGCACGCCCTACTGTTGTGCCCCTTCGTATCTGCGTTTCCCAGGGACTCTTCTCATGCTGGCGATAACCACCACTGGATAGAGAAGGATACTGAACTTGCTACTTTGGCGACATGGCTCGAGAGGAGCTGATCACGTCGGCGGTAAGTCGGCTGTCGCATGTCCCTGATGCAAAGCATCCACAGCTAACGACATCTGTTGTGTGTTAGGTTACTTGTACGTCAGCCACTGGTCTAAGCTGTTGATTGCATACCTGCATGCCTTGTACTTATCTATATCTACAGTCCTCCAGGATCCCTCTGTCTCGTCCGCGCCTCTGGAGAAGAAAGTTGCATTCCTGCAGTCCAAAAACCTGACGCAGGAAGAGATTGATATAGCCCTAACTAGAAGCGGTTCTTCTAGCCCATCTACACCTGCGTCAGAGCAACAGAGCCGTGCAGTTGTTCCGTCACCGCCGCCATACCGGGCTCCCCCAAACCAGAGCTATGGATATGGACAGGCTGGTCAATGGGGTTACGCAACTCCGCCAGAGTAAGTAGCCCTATGTATATTTACTTGTGAACGCATGGCTAATAAGACCCCGTATGTTAAGGCTCCCAAGGCGTGATTGGAGGGATTGGTTTATCATGGCAACGGTAATGGGTGGTGTTGGTTATGGCCTCTATTTTGTTGCAAAGGTACGTCGGTCAGATATGTTAGCTCTGCAATAGTCCGCCCTAACTATTCTGTTAGCGTTACATCTCACCTTTAATCGCACCTCCCACCGCACCACAGCTTCAACAAGACAAGGAAAGTGTGGATGAGCAATTTTCTCGTGCATTTTCTCTCCTAGACCAACTTTCCGCAGATACCGCCGCCCTCAAAGCCGCCGAAGAAGCCCGAACAACTCGACTTGATACTGCACTCCGTGACGTGGAGGAAGTCGTTCAAGAGCTCAAAGTTTCCTCACGGAGACGTGACGATGAAACTAGGCGCATTAGTGAAGAAGTAAGGAGCTTGAAGGATGGCATTCCAAAAGCCATTGACGGAGCTCGTGAAGGGAACGAGAAACGGCTAAGGGAGCTCAACTCAGAGCTAAGGAGCCTGAAGGTTCTCTTGACAAATAGACTTGGTTCTGGTGCATCGACCCCAACGCCTAACGCTGCTACCACTACTGTCACTACTCGGCCAGATGTAAATGGCGCTGCTTCTGCTACTCAACAAACCCCTTCACCTGCTACGCCAAGTCTTGCGGGAGCCTCTATATCAGCCTCAACTCCAGCTCCACGAGAGCGCTCTGGCAGCCCGTTTTCTCAGCTCGGGAAACCAGCAAGCATCCCAGCATGGCAGATGGCTGCTGCTAACAAAGCCAAGAGCACTACAGCCTCTCCTTCGGTTGAAGATGCAGGCGAAGAGGCCGAAAAGGCTGAAAGCAACCAGCAGTCTGCATCTACTGCCAGTTAAAAACTAGTCACCTACAAACTCCGCATCCTCGCTTGTACCACCCCCAATTGAACTTTCTGACTCGCTGTTTATTTGACGAATATGCGCGTTTTTCCTTCCTTTCTTCGGAATTTTCTGGGAATAGTTGCAGTCTTTTGCTCTTGCAATGGTAGGAGAATGTTTAATGGGATACATATATACGTTGACACCACATTATTTCTCATATGTACTTTTATTTCATTTGTCAAGCTTATACCAGGCCTATACAGGGTAATTCACGTGTGTCAAGATCTAATAGAAGAGTATTCGATGGTGATAACACAGGGAGAAGGAGAAGCCATGTTCATCTGCGTCAAGGCCACATGGCAGACTAACCAGAAGTAGTTTAGTCCTTCCCCAGGCTTAAACTTTGAAGAAGCTTAAATTTATATTAAAGATGAACATCTCGCGATTCTAGCAGTAAAACATCTTAAAACCTGGAACAGAGGGGCATTTATCTGGGGAGACAGTGTGCAGTTGGGGATTTCAATATCAAAATTATTAGCATTACTACTGGACGTCCAGCACGCTTTAATGTCACACCGCGAATCATCCATTTCCCCTCCCGATCGCCATCGCCATCGCCGTCGGCACCGTGACTACGATCGCGACAACCACTCACCTTCCATAAGGGCGGACGCTCGATCACGCTCGCCCATCAGAGAGGATAGTTACGATGGCGGTCGGAGATATCGCCGCAGCAGGCAAGAGGGTACCAGGTCTCACCGACGGCAGCGGTCATCTGAAGGCCCAGCAGCGGTCCTACCGCTAGGTGCGACACCTCTTTCGAAGCGCGATTTATCACGGTACAAAGCGATGTTTGGAACCTATTTGGATATCCAAAAAGGCATCTTCATGGATGACCTTGACGATCGTGAACTGAAAGGGAGATGGAAGAGCTTTGTTGGGAAATGGTAAGGAAAAATGCCTAGCATAAGCTATGCGGTATATCTTTTGATTTCTCTAATTTCATTTTACCGTCACATATGAGTTCTAATAACTAACATGACTGAGGAACCGGGGTGAACTTGCAGAAGGATGGTACGACCCGGCAACGCTTAGGAAAGCACTAGAAGGAGCATATAATTGCGGTTCCCCTGGGGCTTCCGTTCACAACCCTCGTGGGAAAAGAGCTTCTCCTTCATATAAGAATGGTGAGGAGCGTTCTGCTGCTTCCAGTGAATATCGCTCGCATGGGTTCAACGATAGAAGTCTCTCAGCTGAACAGGAAGGGCAAAATAAGGATCAGGGAGAAGAGGAGGAAGAGGATGAGGAGGAATCTTATGGACCACAAATCCTAATTTCGCAGCGCCAACTCTCCGGCTTCAGGTCTGGACCGAAAATTCCAACTCTAGCGGATCTAACCCTCAAACGAGGTTCGTCAATCAGTGTTGTATCTATATTTCCGGCCACTCTAATACATTTCATGAATAACTAACGTCTCTGCAGAAGATGAACAATTAGATCACGAAGAATCCCGCAGAGTCAATAAAGCCATACGCAAACAAGAACTCGACTCTCACAAAGGCGAGCTCCTCAGGATGGAAGACGAGATTGCACCGCGAGCAGAACCGGGGTCCCGAGAACGGCTTTTAGAAAGGAAGCGAGAGAAATCAGCACTAAATCGCCAGTTCGCCGAGGCCCGCCGCGGTGGCTCACCCATTGAAGCGGTTGCAGATGCAGATCTCATGGGAGGAGGAGAAGGCGAGGACGGATTTAAGAAGCTGAAAGAAAAGCAGATGCGAAAGAAGAATGAACGGGAGCTTAGGAAGGAGGAGATTCTGAGAGCCAGGGCTGAAGAAAGAGAAATCAGACTTCGGTCATATCGACGCAAGGAGGATGAGACTATGGACTACCTCCGCGCTATTGCTCAAGAAAGATTTGGATAGCACTTTAGCAGTTGTTTACCTTATCTACTCTTTGTATGTCGTACACAGCAGCATTTAAAACCCCAGCACTCATAAGAATCATAATTCAATCTCATTTCCGATAGCGCTAATTTATAAGCCCCCTTTTATGACCCTCCAACTCCTGGCCACAGCAATGAAATATCTTTTGGGCGATATATATACATGTGCATATCTATATCCTCGAGTCCCGCCTAGTTCAAATTATAACACGCATGCCAAAGATAAGACAAAGAAGCCAAAAGGCCCTGACCTGCGCCGATACTCCATTTCATTTCATTGATTTAATTGCGCGACAGCCCATTCAGGGCTGAACCCTAGCTTTCTGATAGTTCTCTCTTCCTTTTCGGTTTCTGCGACGACGAGGACGCGTTGAGTTTTTGACTAGTGCCTTATTTGGACCTGATGTGGTTGTTGTTTTGGTGTCAACAAATTGACAGTCGCCGGAGTCCTCATCACCCTCAATGCTAATGTCCCTTGCTAGATTCGAGGGTTCGCTCTTTGATAATCCCCTGCGAAGTTTGTCCTGTGCATCACACTTTGAAGCATCGAGTCCTTCGACGGCCGTAGCATCATAGCTTTCATCAAACCCCAGGGAATTTCCCCTTACATTCTCGTTCATAGTGGGATAGAACACCTTAGGTTCATCGTGGCTCAGTCTAGCATCGTCCTTTGAAGTCTGACCAAAACCATTGGTATTTGTGGTGCATTCTGCTGCGAATTTTACTTGAAGATTTTCCTTGTCAGGTCCAGTTTCGATGTGAAAGCTATCATCCGTTTCTGTTTCGTAAATATCAACAGTCGCCTCCGAAAATCCTTTATCTTCTTGATGTAGCCTGTTCGAATTGCACTCGCTTGGTGGGAACTGCGACTGGTTCCCTCCTGGTGCTTTATATGCCTTTGGAACGAATTCAGGTGCATCGGGTTTCCATAACCTTTCTCCGTTCGATGGGTATTGATGGCACGAGCAAGTAGTCTCTGAGAATGGGGTACCACTATCAGATTCACTAGCTTCTAGGAATCCCTGGCGGAAACACAGGCGTCGGTAGTATCCGTGATTCTGTAGCAGCTCAGTATGGGTTCCCTGTTCAACAATCTCGCCATTATTTATGACAACAATCCGGTCTGCGTTCACAATGGTGGAGAGTCGATGTCTAGAAAGGATGTTAGGGCTGGCAAGAATAAATCCAACGGTGTTAGATGGCAACTTACGCAATCACAAGCGTGGTTCGACCTGCTGTGAGCTTCTTTAAACTCTCTTGAACCACTGCCTCTGTTTCGCTATCGACACTGCTCGTAGCTTCATCTAGGAGAACAATTCTGGGATTTTTCAAGATAGCCTGTGCAATGGCAACACGCTGGAGTTCTCCACCAGATAATCTCATACCTCTTTCGCCTACCAAAGTGTCATATCCATCCGTCAGGCTCATGAATCTGTCATGAAGCGCAACTGCCTTGCAAGCTTCCATTACCTCCTCATCTGTAGCATCCAACCTTCCGTAGCGTAGGTTGTTCATAATTGAAGCATTGAACAGTGTTGGATCTTGTGGGACCACACCAATACCCTCCCGGAGTGTTTCTAAAGAAACGCCAGAAACATTCTGACCATCAATCTCCACCTTTCCTTGGGTGGGATCGTAAAATCTAAATATCAACTTAAGGATTGTTGACTTTCCTCCACCTGTCTGTCCAACCAATGCAGTAGTACTACCTGCTTTGGCTTGAAAGTTGATGTTTCGGAGTACTCCTCTCTTTCCATCGTACGAAAAATTGACATCCGTAAATTTTATATTCCCAGTTTCAAATCTTAGAGGTTTTGCATCAGGAGAATTCTGGACAGTGGGTTTTTGGCGTAAAATTGAGAGGAACTCTTCAACATCGACCAAATCACGGGCCATTTCCCCGAATCCGTTGGCGATAAACTGCAATGGGCTAGATAGCTGGGCCCAGTAACTCAACAGCATAACAAAATTTCCAATCGGTTTCTCACCCGTGGAAACATGATGTGCTGCCATGAAACAAGCAGCGGTAAGCCCACATATCAGCAGGGCTGATTGGGATGCATTCTCCATATGGTCCCAAAATCGAAACTTGAACCTGGCTTTCAGCTGGGCCTGTACCAGCGACAAGTATCGGGATATCTCATAGGGAACTCGACTAAAATAGGAAACAGTGCGCCAGTTCTCCGTAGATTCACATAGAGCAGTAAACTCTGCTCCCCGAGCCTCGTTCCACTCTCTCCGCTTATCCTTCTGTTTCGCAACGAGTTTGCTGGACGACCATAGGAAGAGAACCATCACTGTCGCAACATCAAGTGCCATATAGCCATCAAAGACGTAGTAAAGCACACCAACGGCTAACACGAGATCTATGATCATTGGGGCGACGAGGAAGAGAATGCTGTGTATGACATCTTTAACAGACTGCCCTCGAATAACTGCGGTCCATAGCCGCCCGGAGTGTTTGTTGTCATGGAAGTCACAAGATAATGACATGACATGATTGAAAGCTGTTGTACTCAGTTTCAAGTACGAGAAATCGTCAACTGGCATACACATAAACCTTCTCAGTGCAGGTAACCCTCCGCTGGAGTCAAGAAGACGGAGTGCAGCAAATATTAATATTTGTTCCCAGGGTAAGCGGCCACCTAAAGAGAGATTTGTTAATAACAACAGATTATATGAAGAGCGAGTTTTCTTTCTTTCTTTCATTCTTTGGTTCTTACCTTGAGTCTTGCTGAGGATATCGGTTATCAGCCCTAGTTGAATAGGAATCAAAAGGTTGATTGCCCTCTCAGCTATCAGACAGAGGATCATTCCTCCGAAGAGGAGCTGAAGTCGTGGTCTCCCAGAAGGCCAGAAGAACGGCGCAAGCTCCTATAAACAGTTAGTTTGGTTATGCATAAAAATAATGGTAAGTCGTCCAATTTTACCCGTAAGTCCTTCATCGACGACCAGATGCCTCCTCGTTTCTCATCATCCACACCATCAGCAGCGTCAATTTTTGGCTTGTCTTTAGATGACTGGTTGTTTAAAATATCCGAGTCACACGACCCATATGCGACTCCGTTAACACGGGCACCAGTGGCACCCAGATCCGCAATGAGTGGCTGCTCATGTGCAAGTAAAGGTGAATTTTCCTCATCGAGCTTTGTCTGCTTGCCTGGGAAGATTCGGGGACCAAAGGCAGCACAAATAAGCAGTGAAAGGGTAATGATTCTCAGTGTTTGACATAGAATGCTGATAATGTTTGCTCGAACATAAATATCTGCAGGGCACAGAAGCAGGGAGATCTCTGATACGAGATATATGATCCACTGGCCGTAAAAAGGGTATGACACCGGCTGTGGTGGTTTGTTTGCGTACAGCAATATTGTTGTGAACCAGAGAAGCCCCGACGACAACTCGGACAGCTACAAGAACAGTAAGTCACTTCCATTTTGGCACCCTCTATAGTTTTGCATAAACCTATGACGGAAAAAGAAAAGAAACCTACAATTCGGCCCTTTGCAAAGGCAGCCCCGTCACCTTCAATGGTGGAAGAGAGATTGTTTACCGCGTCCACGATCTGTTCAGCAGAGACAAACGAGGGTAAGCAAAATCTGACCATATAGCTAGCCATGGATCGACGGCAGCCCGGGTGATAAACTCCTGTTCATATGTTAAGCAGACAGACTTACATAAGTCAGGAAGACAGTCGATATCAAAAACCCGATCACAACATTGGAACGGCGAGACGAGCCGGTACTATTTTTTTCGCTACCAGGAGCAAAGATGATTGTTATGCAATAAGCACCGAAGAAGTAGACGGCCGCCAGCGACGGCAGCGTATCTTGCACAAGCTTAGCAAAATACATCCCGTCCAGCGTCGACGCACCGCCGTAGCCCTCCTCCATGATGGTGATGGCCTTCGAAGCCCTGAGCTCTAGTTAGGTGCAGCAGCCAGCGGGTCGAAAAAAAGATAGAACTACTTTTGCTCTTGGCGAAGATGAATCCGAAACGGCCCACCTGGAGGCGTGGGATCATGGATGGGCTTGCGTGAGGGCCGGAAGACCTCCTGGACAAAAAAAAACAAGAGTCTTTTTTTTTTTTTTTGGGCTCTCTCTTTCTCTCAAGGGCTATTTTGCACTTCTCGCAAGCGGTTGCGGACTGCTGGCTAAAGCGGTAAGGCCTAGTTCGGGCTAGGGCGACTAAAGCATGCGGCTAAAAGCATGTGTGCGTGTCGAAGTACCTCCGGGATGGTGGACTCCATACGGGGGGATGTGAAGGCAAGGGCAGGCAGCAGACAACCCTGGACAACAAAGAGCGGTGATAGAAAGCAAAAGAAAAGAACAAGCCCCTGGTGAGGCGAAGGAGAAGAAGAAACGAGGCGGCAACCGGACACGCGCTACAGCGTTGACATCAAAGGTCAGGGGGAGGGAAGAAAAACCAAGCGGACAGGGGATGTCCAGGAGAAGCAAAAGAAGGGAGAAGAAGAAGAAGAAGAAGATATTACATGGAACTCAGGGGTTGATGTTGATGTTGACGTTGCTGGAGTTGTTATGTTAGTTTGAGCGCGGGAAGGAACCAAGTTAATATAGCCGATTTACTTGGTAGGCGCTTCGGGAAGAAGCGAAGGCGTTGTTTTCGTCCCTTAAGAGTTGACCGTCAGAGGAAAGCCTCAGGGATGACTCGAAAGGGAAAAGAAGAGGCGGAGAAGAAGAAGAAGAAGAGCAGAAAAGGACGGGAAGACGGCGGCTTCCGTTTGTCTCTGCTGTTTGCGACCCAAGCCGGGTTATATCTTATACTGCATCATCCCAAGAACAAAAATAGATGCGGCTCGGGTGCCTGGGCAGCGACCCAAGCGCTGGGTCTGGCTGAAGTACTTCCTTGGTGAAGTTGCATCTTGATGGAGAAGCTCTCGGAGGCATAACAGCGAGTGACCAGAGAGCCTTGGAGATGGCGATTGAAGGGGAATCAGCAGAGACCCCTGGCTCCCTGGGTGGCGGCGTAGGAACAGAGGGAAGGGCGAGAAGGGAGTTGCTGCCTGTCCTCGCCTTCGCCTTTGCCCTTTCGCCGCAAGCCAGAGTTGTTTGCTCCGTAAATAGTTATCTAGATCGGTGAGATACTCTGTATATCCCACATGAACACGGCAGCTCTGGGCCAACACATGCTCTCCTTTCTCCCTGAGCAGTTTGCTTGCACCTAGTATTGTGGAGACCTGTCATAGCACAAACACCAGGCTTGATAATATGCCAATTAACACCAGCTAGCGTGCTCGTCCTCTTCGCGGATCGACTTTTTGACTCCATGGTGCAAGAGTTTGAATAGACTGCCGAAGCCGTCTGGCAGAGTTCTAGAGCGAAGCAAAAGCCGAGAGACGAACAACGCTCCCTCAATGTTTTTATCCATTGATAGGCGCCTCGACAGACTGTCCAGCCCTTTGAGACATGTAGGTCGCACCCAGTCGGCGATCCCTGGAGTGTTGTTTGGAAGCAAGAAGGGGGCCGACTTGCTTGTTTTGTCTCCAGAGTTGCGCGCGCCCCCTCATTCTCAGGGAAGACAGCCGGGCCCCTTGTCCACCAGTGTGATCAAGAGAAAAGGAGGGTACTATCCCTGCTCTTCGTTATACTTTTTCTCGTTCTTTTTTGGCCATCAATCCATGTCCCATCCTGTAAACTAGTTATGGCTTCGTGACCTTTTCGTGTCCATTTTTGCATTTGTAGAATATTAAAAAAAAAAAAAAAAAAAGGGCAGCACTTAAGCTAGCCGTCGGGCGTCGCTTCGTGGAAGGGGAAATCGCCACAGATCAGAACACCCGCATTTGAAGGAGCTGCTGTTGGAGCAGCAAGCATATTATTATCGATTAAAGGGTGTAAAAAAAAAAAAAAAGAAGAAGAAGAGGAAGAAGTAAAAGGGAGAGTCAGGCCTTCGGGAGGCTTGTCGTCTCGTATTTAGCTGCAAGCCAGCGTGACACGATAGATTGGCTCATGCTTCGGTGGGAATAAACTGTGCGTCTGTATCAACCCGTATGGGAGACGAACAATGACGACGATGACGACGGGACCAATGCTCATTCCTGTGCATATTCTTCTGCATCCGTCTTTCTGCAGTGGCCAATCGGCAGCTCAAGAGCGGACGTGTTGAAGACGCTGGCAGAGGGCATCTTAAGAACGATGCTGCGTGGTTTGAGTGGCCGCAGACAGGGGAGCATCCCGTTTGGCAGACCTACATTCATACTCGTGAGACAAACGGAGTATGTACTCCGTAGCTATATTCCCCAGCAGCATATAGTTAAAATCTCATACACAGACGTGTCAGCTCGGGATAGTTGAACCGTCATCGTCATTCCAGGAGTCTCCGCTGCAGATCTTCCTGAAAGTTAAATCTTTGGATTGATGGTAACGCTAGTTGGTCGATTAGCAGACTTAAACATTAGCATGTCAACTAAGAAAAGGGATAAGAAGTAAAATTACCACCAGGGAGTGATTTGCATGGTGGTTGGCTTACGCTTTTTACCACTCTCTCCATGTACGGAGTAAACGGTTTCGCCTCCCCTCGAGCTACCAACGCTCATTTCCACCTGGCTGGGACAAAGAGACCGAGAGAATGGACGAGGGAATAGTGGCCTCACGGTCAGCTGCCAGGGAGAGGGAGCTCCAACTCGGTGCCAAAATACATTTTACATAGATTGAGATTATAAACAGAAGTCTCGCCCAACGTTTCTAGCAATCAACTGATATGCCCAGCAGGGACGGCAGTCCGCTTCTTTATCTTGCTCTTGCTTTCTTTCGCATATCAATATTACTGCACACGTTTAATAATAACCAATGCTTATGATACCCCTGCCTTTATAGGCGACACCAATTCCAAAAGCGATCCAAGCGTTACAGTCGTGTATTTGCCGGGAGAGATGATGGTATTGGTTGGCGGCGTACGAGGCATGAACAGGCTAGTTGGCTATGGAACAGCCAACCATAAAATACAGTTCCATCGCACTGGGGCTGGCAAGCCAACAAACCCTTCCAGAGTGACACATATTTGTTGGCAGCCAGGATTATATGGATGCACAATGCACGATGCGATGTATCTAGGAGAAGAAACAGGAAAGACTCGCCAGAGTTCTCCATAGTTACCCAATGACCGTCGAAACGGTGGAGAGCTGCTGACATCAAACGCTCCGACAAACTTATTTGATTCCCAGGTTGAGGTCGGCCACCAATCGGAATCGGGATTCAGCCTGCTCGTCTGCTGCATTGCCTTTCTCAGTAGCAGGGAAGAAGAAGGGCTTCACTGCAATCTCGACTACTTCGTCAAACAGTTTCCCGATAACCTCGCGTTTTAGCTCATCTCCCGTCTGCCGAAAATCGGGAAAGGCGTTTAGTTCGAGTAGCCATGCGTTGCCTGTTTCATCGACTAGGTAGTCGACCCCAAATATTTCGAATGCGTTAGGTAGCGGTTGGAAATGAACCATCATACCGCGAGCAGCTGCCTCAAATACTTCGCCCGTGACCACGCAGATCTGGTCGTATACGCGATCCTTCCATCCTGTTTCCACCGAAGCACCCTTGTCATCTAGTTTCCAGAAACGCTGAACATTCTCAGGAGCCACGTTCCGCCCGGTAGAATCGGATTGAAGACAGGTATTGGTGAGGTGACGACTAAGATAGCTGAGTTCGTCCTCATCAGTTTCTCCCTCTTCCCATGGAAGAACATATGATTTATCTGCGAAGAGAGCAAGCATTTCTCGATACACATAGACTTTCAGGGAGCCAACAGCCAAGACATAAACTCGGATATGGAACTTTCGATTTGCGGCTGACGGTAACAGGAGGGGGCGGAGGACATAGGGCTGTGCAACAAAATGTCGTAGTTGAGACGTAACAACGCCAGTGTCTGGTTTGTCATTCAAATCACCATTTGGTTCTTCGCTTATGCTTCTCTCTGAATCGGTGTCCTCGGGTTCCCATTCTTCAAATATCTTCTGAAGGGACATTTCACTGTTGAAGAGACGGATCCCTTGAGCACGATCACTCATGCTCGGTTTCAATATCCACCACTCCTTTTCACCCTCCTCCTTTTCCTCATTAGCCTCTAGACTCTCACGTAGCTCGTAAGCCTCAAGCAGGGCATCATCTAGAAATTCCGCATAGTCTAATTCAAAGTCTATTGTAGGTTTAAAATGCTTCTGAAGCACGCTGTCCGGGTATTTCGTGATCCAATTGGCGATAGTATTAGAAAGAAAGTGTTTGCGAATTAACGCCTTCCGGATGATATAAGAATTTACCAGTGATGTCGATGGATGCAAGTGAACATGCTCAAAGTCGGATTTTTCATATACCCTGTATTGGAGGACTGGGGAATCGGGGCCGGGTAGCTCGGATATAGAAGATATCATTCTGTAAGGAATGTTCTTGAACTGTTTCTGTAGAGCCCCCATTACAAGGGGTTGTACATAGGCGTCTTGACAATCCACCAGGGCATAAAATATCGGAGTCTCATTCAACCTGTGTAAAAGGAAATAATCCAGTTCAGTCAGGACGGAATCTCTTGTGTAAAAATAGCAATCAATATATATATATATATAAATCAATGATGTAGTATACCATGAAGATACACGGGTAAATTGGTGAATTGGTAAGCTTGCAGAGTATACGTGCTATTTCAGATCGTCAAGGACCCCAAAATTCCAAGTCGTCACTCACAGCGTTATTTCACCGGAACAGCCCGGCCAATGCATGAAATTTGCCTTCAACGGAGTGACGCTGTGAAAAGAGAATAGTATCAGTGATCAACCATTCTATAATCTCTCATGGCATTGGTAAGACAAGCTTCCAAAACAAACATACCTTGTAAAACCAGACCTGACGGCCCAGCCGTCGTTCCCGGGCGGGCTGGTCTGCTCACTCTTATAGACATCTCCAAATTTCGGAGCCCACTTAAAGTGTTTGTGTTGGAACCTCGTGGAGGAGGTGCCAGAGGTATCTCCATGTAGGGTACTCCCTTCTTCCTTTTGTCTAAGCAGATGTTCCTGAAGGCCAGGATCCTCACCGCTTAATTCGGCATCAATTGCTTCGAAGCAGCTTCCTGACCAACGGTTGTCTAAAATATTCGTATACAAGATCTTCGATTTGCTTATCCCTTGTTCTAGGGGTACGTTGATGCTGTAGAGGTCAACTCCACTGGTCCAGTTCTTGTAAAGGTGCTCTATCAACCGAACCGAGTGATTCGCGGCTTCTGATATAACGACTGGGTCATGATCTCGTGAGCTGAAAGCGAATGATAGAGCAATTGCTTTGTATCCACAAACTGCAGCCTCCATCGCTCCGCCGATGGTGCCACTAGAGAGAGAGAAGACTGCAGTGGAATTCCTTCCATAATTTGGTCCAGAAATCACTAACTCTACCGGTCCGCGGTCTTGAAAGTAGTGGAATAAGCCAATTTGAACACAGCTTGCGGGCGTCGAGTCAATGAGAATCCACTCGTCGCCCTCGCTGCCTTCTCCTTCTTCACTGCGTGGTAGCGAGTGTATTGTGCCGTCGTCTTGGAAAAGGGTCCCTGGGTGAAAGTACGTCGGTTTGACGGTAGCCCCAACAAGGTGAGCTTTGCCAATCCATGATCTCTGCCTATGCGGTAAAACGACAGATACTACATGGCCGGAGGACTGGAGGGTGTGGATAAGGGAATGTATGTACGGCGAGGATTGAGACGAAGGCGGACCGTCGTCGTTAACGACCTTGTTTGGCCAGACGTTAGTTCACCACCACCTACTTGAGCAATCCCCGGCTAAAAGCACCGAGAACGACTGCGGGATAGACCATGCCAGGAATAACTTACAAGGATGTGCATCTTGCAGGCTGCGAACTGTAGTTAAGAGGCTGGCTGTTGTCGTAATGTCATTTCTTATTTCAATGATGGAAGTTCGCCCCCGCGCAGTTCCTGTGGGGTTTTTGGTTAACTAGCTAAGTAGTGATTTCTCCCATGCGCCAAACCTGGCATCTTTATATCTCGTCTTTTTTACTAGTAGATCTGGGGACTATATGACTATAATCAGGGGCGAGTAAGACTATTACGACTCTAATTAGTTATTATTAATCACATTTCCCAGCGGTATGAAACTGATCTTCCCCACGGCTGAGGGAGGGCAACGATCACGGCTAGATCCCGCTCAACTCGCTTCCTTGATCTTCATCTGGCCCGTTATCCTCGTTTGAGCCATATGCTGACGGCTCATCCTCTTCCTCAGCCTTAATATCGGGAAACAGGCTTGCGGTAACACCCTCTTGCATAGCTGTAGATGGCTCTGAGCTGTCCTTAAACCCGTCGTCGGAGTCAACATCCTCTTTCTTAACGACCATCCCCTCACTCCCCGAAGACCGACTTGAAAGTGCAAGCCAGACTCCAGTGGCAACTGACGTAGAAATGAGCCAAAACATAGAACCAAAGGTCAGGAACGAAAGAGTTCTCCAGTTATACATCATCCATCTATGTAATTTGAGGTTAGCAAGGAGTCCCAATATCAAAAGGCATCACAAGTAAAGCCATAAAATCGACAGATATAATCTCGGAGTATGCATACCGTAGGCCAGTAAATCTTGCGTCTATCCTCACACTTGCTTTGTACACTTGAATCCGTTCGTTGCTTTGAATCTCTAGCCTAATGCCCCTTGGTACTTCTCCTTTTCCTTTGCGGAACTGAACTCGTTCCATCATTCCAATCGTAAGCACCTCTGCTTCCCGTTTCAGTCCGAGAACATAGAGTGGAAGTCGCCATAGCTGCCGAGCTATATCTACCATGGGAGATGTGTAGGTCAGCATGGCCGGGCGGCGTGATCGCAGCAGCACGGTCTCAGATGCATTTGCAATGGATCCAGCTAAATCATCAGGCTCCCTGAGAAAAGCAAGATCAAGCATGAAATTTCCTGCAGCACGATTGGCAGGAGTAGAAGGGAGCTGTAATATCACCTTGACGTCGTACTTTTGAAGTGGAATCATGCGCGGCCCCAAAACTGCCGTACCATATGGAAAGCTCGTACTATAGTCTTGTTATTTCTGGATGCTAGACACACAGAGCTTCATCATGGATCAAGCTATCCATCTCCTTGCATCTGACTTACTCATATTGAAGGTGGATTTGCCGTTCAAGGCTAATCTGGGGTACATAGTTGTAGTAAAACACCCAGTATGCTATGGTAGATAGGCCAAATAGAGCAAAGGTTGCACAGGTGAAGAGAAATACGCTTATATATGACCGTTGAGCAGTCTTTGACGTAGCAGCCTGAATGGGCCGTAGTATGATGGACTGTCTGGAGATCAATAACGGGTATAAAAAACTGGTAGGGTATTCATACCGAGACCCCTTGCTCTTGTTGGATATTCGCCATTGTTTCCAAGTCTTAGTTGGAGGTTATACTCATCACAACTTGCTACCAAGCATTGCAAAAATTGAAAAACTAGAAAGATGAGCCTAGTAGACCCCTCTGCCTCAGGTCAAGAGTTGCAATTTTGCATGTATGTCATGGGATAAGATGATCATATGTCGGTGTTGATATTTGTTGCTAAGACCAGGCAAGACCCAGGCCAAATCAGGTACTGCCTATCACGTGCAAATTTCAAGTCAAGATTTAGTGTATAGGAGAAGAATGCCCCTGGATAATCGATTCAACTTTTTATAACTGTTTATTATGACCCAGTGTGACATTAACATAGCTTAGGCCCTGGCGATTTAGGAGAGCCCCGTTGTTTTATATCTTTTTGTTTGTGTGCATACGAATTCTGTCCCGCACGGCTCAAATCAACAAAGTCGGGAGCATAGAATGAGTGTGAAGATCAACAGTTGAATAGATAATAAACAGAAGCAAAACAAAAAAATACCTATTTTTTTTAAGATTACATAGGACCTTGACGAATAAACAACCCCCAGATCATGCATGCATGCCGTCCAAAAACAAAGTAGCGAACCATGAAACCCATCCGAGCGGTATCTAAAGAAACTTGTAAAAGGGAGAGGAAGGTACATATGCGCATGTGAAGGCTTGAAAAGATTAAGATAGGCGTATGGAGTTGGGGTATGTTTGTTCATCGTCACAGTCATCATCAAGGTCACAGCCAGTGACTCGTTCCAAGGAAGAATCCCTCCTATGGATTTCGTCTCATATACTATTTTTTTTTTTTTTTTTTTTTTTTTTTTTCTTTTTCACACCTTCAACTATTTGCTAGAAGAGAAACTTAACTTAGGGTGCGGGGGCTTTGCTGTTGAATGTGCTGCAGAAGAGCGTCGAACAGACGACCAATCTAGAAGACAACATGTTAGCATCATGCCCTATGAACCAGGTAGTTATAGGACCTCCATACCTCAGGTGCCGCTTGAATGAAAGGCAAGCGGAAGAACGAGTAATTGCCATTCTGCAACAGCTCTTGGAGTGTAATGATAAGACCCCAAGGGTGAGGTCGGTGGACAATCAATCGCTCTAGTAATACACGGATGATCTGCTCGCGAATATGAGTTTCATGCTGAGCCGCGGTCTCTGAGCCGAAGATGTTGAGTATGGCGAAGCTGAAGAAATGGGTGTGGCTGTTCGGATATCGTAGTTGATTTACAATGGCACTGAGGAGGTAATACCGGGCCTCTGGGCGTAGCGTGTTCACTAACTTCTCCAGGAACCCAAGAGCGGGGGAGTTGCTGAAAGAAGCTGTGCCAGGCTTCTGAGCTGATGAAGAGACGGCACTCTGACCAATGTACAGAACAAGTGCCTCCAAAAGAACCGTATTAACGTTGATTGGATTGAAGAATAGCCCAGTGTCTCTTGCTGGGGGATTATAAATAACCTCCGATATTTGCTGAATAGCAACATCAGCAGTGTTGAAATTCCGTAATGCATTGTCCACTGGTGCCTTAATCATTGCATCCTGGAGTGGTGTGACGATGTCGGCGGTAATTTTTGGTGCTTTGCTCATTTCCTCCAATCGATCAATCTTTAAGCCGTCACGGAAGGGATCAGGCAATTTTTGGAATGACGATGGATAAGCGCTCAACACGAGGTTTCGAAGTTGGCTACAGTGGGTGGGTATAACAGTGCAGAATTGGAAATGATTTTCGGCAACGAACTCCGGGAAATCATGGTGCAGTATCAAAAGAATTCGAAGTACTCCTTTGTAGATGTCCTTGGCCACATAGGTCACAGATGCGGATTTAAGCTGCTCACCGATATATGACAGAAGCACTTGCATTATTTCACAAAACGGTTCCCAGCCCTATGGATACAATTAGTAAAATCATTTAAAGATAATATGAATAGCGAAAGTTATGTACTCACCATCTGATCATCCAAGGTAAGCATCTCGGCCATAAACACGCGATGAGAAATCAGCGATAGCCATCCGTAGATGAAACCTGGTACGTGTTTAGGCTGGAGTAACAAGAATTTGTCTGCAAAAGCCAGCATCATGCCCTTGTGCTGGTCTGTCTGTGCAAGGCCACTGACAGCATATTCGCAAAGAATGCTCGAAAAGAGTCTGAAAAATACTCGCTGGTTGAAGCTATCGCCTCGCATGACTTGATGGTGATTGAGAACCAAGACCAACAGAGAGAGGATAGAATTCAAGTAGGCCGACTTGCTAGCTTTGACCGCACCGTCAGCATCGCCTTGGAATTTCACCAATAGTATAACCAGCTTGGCGAGAGCGTCGATATACAAGAATGCCTCATCGATGTTTCCACTGACATTCTGATACTCGTGCTCGAACATGGCAACGGATATATCAATGCTGAGCCTGAAAAACAAGGCTGAGTCCTCCTGTGTGTTCATGACCTGTCGGTGGTGCATATCTTTCAGGAAGGCGCTATACATTCTGTCGTTGGATCCGGGGAACTTGTATACGCCAATCCACTCACTAAATATATACTCCATCTGATCTCTCTTTGATCGAGCCAAGTCACTCAAAAGAGTGTTGGCTGATTCTGGAATACCAGACTCTCGAAGGGTCTGGATGATCTCACGAGCAAGGGAAAGATCAGGTTCTTCGACAACCCATTGGTTCAGCGCATCCAGACTCCCAGAAAAGTCGGATCGTAGTGCTGATGGTTCATCATTCAGTAAAACGCGGTTCATCAATGCAGATAGTAGCTCCAATGCGGCGTGACTCTTGTCCTTGATCAGTTTGGCAATATTCATGTCAATTCGATGAAGATCCATCAGTCCAGCATCGATAAGGGCAACCGTGACTGGGACATTGAACATCTGCCCATCATCAACCTCAGCAAGGACTGCCCATACATATCTTGCCACAAGTGATGAAAGTTCACATATCTTGGTCAACAGATGAACGAGAACTTCTATTTCAAGGGTCTTCTCGGTCTGAGTGTAAAGGGCATTGCAAATTTTCATAGCAGCCAATCTTGCCAACTCTTCGCCATTCTGGGATGAGAGAATAGCTCTGAGAACCTGATTGTATGAATGGAGGATAGGGCTATCCCTTGCAATGTCCTTGATATGCTCATCCTTCTCAGATCGGGTGGTGTGCTGAAGGTCAACAACAAGCCCATCAATCTTCTCGCGTGGAGTAGATGCTTCCAAAAAGCCGTTGATCTGTGGTTGGGTACCAGAAAGCGCCTGTTGTTGAACATCTGCATCCTGTGGACCTCTGCTAGCGGGGTGAGGAATCGCGGATTGGTCCGCTGGGGTGCTTAAGTTAGGCATGCCTGGGAAAGCTTCTTGAAGAACGTCTGGGATTTGTTTACCCGAGTCTGTCGATGCATGCTGGATATGTGTTGGGCCTGCTCCACGCGACTGGCGGGCGAACTCTTCATATATGGCTAGTTGCTCTTTGTTTAATCCTCCAGGGACTTGTCTGTATGGTTCCGGAATAAACAAAGCCCATCGGCTCATAGAAGGATCAATGAATGCTTCATTGGGTCGCGCAATACGATGGCGCCTACGGGCCTCGAGTTGTGATTCAATAACTTTTTCGATCTCTGGGAGAGACTTTTCTTCAGCTGCCTTCTCAACGATACCGCAAGCAGCATCCAGGTTGTCGTTCACACACATAAGGATAAGACCCTCTGGCATCGGTTGGTCCGAGTACTCTTGCTGGATCATACGGATATAGTTCGTCATGCTCATTTTTAGCGGTTCCTTGCAAGTAACGAGAGCAAGGCTACCAGCAAGAGCACGAACCATAGTCCCTGCTGCCTGGCGAACTTTTTCCTCATCTGGTTCCATGGCAAAGTCCTTCAGAATTAATTGAGCGGCTGAGATGGAGGCTATGGTGATCGAGCGCTCAACGACTGGTGCAATAATTTCGGCAATTGCACGTTCAACAGCACCGTGAACAATTTGTTTTAATGTGTTGGGATCGGCAGATGGCGGGAAGACAAGAATTTGGTCGAGCTTAGGGAGGTTTGAGATAATGGAAGAAGGGGAAATTCGATCAGCTCGGATGCCACGGCTCATGCCAGTGAGCGACATTTCATCAAATGCCTCTAATCCTTCCGGGAGGCAAGCGACGGGTAATCCTTCATGGAGCTGAGCTGGGCGTTCTCTAATGCATGTCGACGGTTCGATTGTCTTGTGGTCAAGTTCCAAGTCTCCACAGAGTACCTCTATTTCGAACTTAAGGATCATCTTCAATTCAGCGAAGTGGTAAATTTCAATCAATAGTGCAATGATGTCCATCAACCACGGGTTTGGAGGTTTGAAAATTGATGATTTCATGGCTTGACTGAGGACCTTGCAGGTGAACGGAATAGCGACGGTAAGGCGTTGACTATCAAATGCTTCTATAAGCAGCTCCTTGAAGTAAATATTCTTGTGCTTTATAGGCTTGTCTTTTGCAATTGTCAGAGAGCCTAGCCAGCCACCAAGATTCTTTAGATGAGTACGGTCAATCGTAGAATTCATTGTCGATTCCGCATTAAGGAGCCTGATAGAGCTGACGTAGGTTTCCCTAAGCACTTCTGCCCATAAAGTCTTGTCATCAATAAGTTCCAAAAGGTCCAAGTATAGTTGCTGGAAATTTGGTTGTAGCTTTGCTCGCTCCTCAACGAGATACGAAGCAAACCATTGATGATGCTCATCTTTCAAGCTTTCCCGAAGATCTTGAAGTTTCGACTTAATGTTTTGCTCTGAAACATTGTTGAGGATGAAAAGAATCTTGTCGTGAGTGTCTTCATCTGGCTCCTTATAAATATCTGGCCGAAGCGGGGGTCCTACATGTAGGGACTGGAATTTGCGGGGCGATCCTTCGTTGACGAGTTCGTTAACACTGCCATTAGCGAGGGACAGTCCATCAGTTACGCCGTTAACTTCAGTTCCATCAACACCATTGATCGGATGGTGACCTTGTTCACGAAGGACTTCCTCTGCCTTGCGGTGGATATTAGATCCCTGAAGGCTAGGTATCTGAAGAAGGAGGCTGCAAAATCCAACCCACTCAGGCAACCGGCTTATTAACTGCTCAATGGCTTCAACACCGAATTTATAGAGAGACTCGTGAGGTTCGTGTTCGCGTACAGCGTCCAAAATCATCCCAAGACCAACCTTTAGGGGTATCCCAGAAATAAGCTTAAAATTGATAATGCCGCCAAACATGACGGCCGTCTTCGTGAGAGCCTCAAGTGGATACTCATGGTAGCAATGATATTCATCAATGAGACCATGAACCATGCAGGTAAAAAGGTCCTGTTCTGCAGGCTCGCGAGAGGACTTGTACCGTCTCATAAGCTCAAGGATTTCCCGGAGAGAAAGTTCTTCATGGTACATCTTCCCGAAAAGGTCACGCATCTTCTTGTCGATGTCCTCGGGGATGGCGTTTCCTCGGACACTATTGGCCTCGATAACATCATCAAATCCCTCGCCATAGTTAATTAATCTGGGGTAAGTTTGAAGGCAGATCCGTTGAATAGGGGTTAAGTTTTCATGGTCAGTGATGTAATCTTCCAGTATCATCAAGAGAGCGAATACGGTCTTGACGGATAGGCTGACCATTTGCGGGGTTGGTTGTTCCCCTCGCTGCACTCGCAACTCGTCTTCAGCCTTGATTCTGAGGAACTTGGCCAATAACCCACCCATATCAACTGGCGTTTTTCCAGCTGTCCCCTTCACCCACTGCTCCAAGTCGAAGGAACCTTTCTGGTGGGCAAGGGAGGCAAGATCCATGGCAAGGCCATTGGTAAAATCCAGTAGATAGTCAAGCCAGCCGTGCTCAACTGCATGCTCATAGATCAGATCAGTACAAGAAGGATCCTGAGTGAAAGCATGGAACAATTGCTCTCCCACCCATTGCTGGTTGAGTTTCCAAACTCCGTGAAGCGCGAACTGGTATCCATCCTGTCGTTTTAAGATAAATATCATGAATGATCTGACAAGGAAATTATGCTGGACGTTGGTCCAGGGCTGGGGTATGGCAAATGCGGAGCAGAGGAAGGTTGGGAGGTCGTGTTGGAGGATAGTCTTGACAAAGTTTTGACTCTCTGGAAGAGCCCATGTTGCAGGCGAGACAAGTATTAGGTCGAAAATTGCTTTTGTAGCGTCGAGGGAGCGAAGAGGGTTGTTCTTGGTTTGCTCGGCCTGGAGTTTGACCGTTTCAGACGCGTCATCAAAGATATCAGAACTAAAGGCGGAACGGAAGTTAGGGATCTGTGATGTATCGATACCCGGTGTGTCAATTCCAGCACAGAGGAACGCAGTCAAAAAAGAGAACTGAGCGTTTTTATGAGCCCAGTCACCCCCCCAAAGCATCTGAAGATCCAGCGAATTGTCCTCCTGGGCGACCGGAAGCAACGCATTGAATATTCTTGCAAACTGGGAGTTGTCGACACGAAGTCCATCTTTATCAAACTGCCGTACAGCCTCGGGCCAGTTTATCGGCTGAGAGGCGTGTTGCTTTAGAAGAGTTGACACCAAAAGGTCGAGAGGATACTGTTGCCAGGATTGAGATAGTACAATAAAGAGGATTGCATTGCCAATTTGTTCCCCGCTAAACGCATCTGAACCGGCGGCCTTGATAGTGTCAAGCATGGTATCGGGATCACCCAGGGATTGAGGACCGCGAGCCTGGATTTGACGGACAAGGGACAGTCGAGGGTCTGTGAGGGAAAACATCTGTACAGCCGAATCAACCTCGATTGGGATCTCGGAATCTGCATTTTGGTAGCGTATGCGAACATCATAGATAAGTTTCTTCTTCATATCCTCGTTAAAATTACGGGGGGGATTAAAAATAAGTCGTTCGATGGTAAGAGCAATAAAGGATGGCGTTGAATCTTTATTAGAGTCCGAGATGGTGGAGAGGCTCTGGAGGAACTGAGGGAGAGATGCTGATAGGATCGCGTCAGCTATAGAGAGTTAGTATGCCAAGAGCATTGAGGCTATTACTGATGACGTTGCTAGAATTGGCTTACCTTTGGTACGGAGGTCAGACTTTGTGACATTTTTAAGGCGAGAGTGAGAGCGGTTTTGAGTATGGGATCGAGTTTAAAATGGTCGAGAAAGGTGGAGAGATCAAAGTCTCTGAATATGTCACCTTCAGAGGTATCGATAGTCTCTGCTATCTTTCGACCTTGGTCGGGGTCGAGAGCCACCTTCTGCACCTCCTGGACCAATAAAGGGTAATTCCCGGAGTTGTCGACATTTTTGTTGGCTCCAGAAAATATCTGGCCAGCATTGCTTGACAGCAGACGGCGGAAGTACTTTGAGAACACTTCCATACCGTTGGAGTTTACGAGCTATGTAAAAAGTTAGTCGCTAATTGGTCAAATTAAACAAGATGGGATGAATGGTTACAAGAGAGGGAAAACTAACCCTGTGAATCTGTGCCGCTTTGGTTTCCCACTTCTCTTTCCCTTCTTTCTCGTTGATCGAGTCCAGCAGAAGAAAAACCTGGACTACTGAAATCTTCGAGAGTGATGATTGACTGGAGCCAGCGCCACCCGTTGACGACACGGTCGCGGAGGACGTTTTATCGGATGGAAACCCGGTAGGAGAGCCGACTGCAGTACCGGTCAACAGAGGAGAGAACGTGGCGCCTCTTGACACGGCAGTACCACCACCTCCACCTCCTCCACCCCCACCACTACCTCCTCCTCCTGGTGCGGAAGCCGTTGGGGTCGCCAGGTGCGAAACTGCTGAAGGGGGAAGTGGTGTGGTAGATTTTGGGGATGTAATTGAATGTTGTTGTGATTGTTGTTGTGAAGGGTGCTGTGCGCCAGCTTGGAAAGAAGAAGCAAAGGGAGAAGGAGTCGGGGCTGGCGAAGGATTACCACGCGCAGCTGGAAGCCGAGAGCCCGAGCTCAGGATGGCGGAGAATGTAGAGGTCAATGGAGACGTGGCAGGCCCGGGAGCAGGCGCTGGGTTGCTAGTGTGGGACGGAGATGCAACTGCACCTGCAGCGGGTGTCCGGCGAGAGGGAGACGATGTACCGGTTGAAGTAGATAGGTTAGCTGTCGCAAGGGTGAGAGGACGACGAACGGACGCTTGAGACGACGGGACGCCCCAAGCTGACGGCTGGAGTCTCGAAGATCGAGCAGTAGTGGGCTGATCAGAGCCGGAAGCAATCGAGGATTGGGCGGAGTGAGAAGGGGAAGGGAAGGTCATCTAGGAGACGCGATCATTTGATCTGATCGTGATTGGACGCTTGATAGAGAGCAGGGCGAGGCAAAGAAAGGCAGAGGAATAAATAAGTAAATGACTAGCAAAAGGAAGCCCAGTGCAACGGGTTGGTTGGCGATTGTGGTTTGCTGCAGGGTGACCTCAGACAAGCGAGCCTCTCCCGTAACGGCGGGCGTGTGTTTGATGGACAGACTTAGGCGTCAAACAAGAGGTGCAAAGCTCCGGTGCCGCGATCCAGCTGATTGAGGAGGGCAGATCAGACCGTCTGAGCCTCGTTTTCTTTTTGCTCGGGAAGAAGTCCTGGAGTCGGCTGTGGGAGTGCTGCGTTTCTCTCGGGGGGGTTCGTGATGGTGCAGGATGGAGGTTGAAGTTCGAAAGTTGAGGTTGGAGAAAGAAGAAAAAGGCGGACAAGGAAGGCAGAAAAAAAGGCGCGGTGGGCGGGACGAACCACTTGCGCAGACTGATGAAGTAATCAAGCACGTGATATGTTGCCCCGGGCAACCGTCGACGGTAAACACAGCGAGCCTGGACAAGCTCGAGGCTTTTGCTCTCTTCCTGACCGTCCATGATATCCTCATCACCTCCCACCCCATCACCCCCTTTGACATCTATCGCTCACTTCTTGTTACGATTTACGATTTTCTTTTGCCTTTGTTTTCCTGCTACGAACACCAAAAAATAATTATTAACAAAAAGCCCAAAAAAAAAAGGGAAGCTCGAGGATATAGACCTTAAAAACCCCCGAACTTATCTGTGACATATCTATATCTGGAGCGATGCCGGCAGCTGTGGCGGATACTCCTTCCATTTCTTTATCATGTAAGTTGATACTTTCCACGCTCACAGCTTTGTTTCTGAAGCTTCGACTAACCGTTGTTTTAGTTGCGAATAACTTCTGGGGCAAAGATGACGCTGGCGTCCTGCCTATGCTCGAACGCATGCACAATGCAAAGTCAACATGCGATGAACTACGGTCTTTCTATAGCAGTGAGTTGCCGAGCTTCAAGAAGGAGTATCTTGGATAAATGGATGGTTGCTGACATACTTAAATTAGCACGCGCCGCTATCGAGGATGAGTATGCTCGGAAGCTCCTGGCGCTCTGCCGCAAGCCCCTTGGAGCACACGAGTCAGGAACGCTCCGGTCATCACTGGACACTGTCAGAGGGGAGACAGAAGTAATTGGCAAGACACACTCCGCAATTGCATCGCAGATGAAGACCGAATTGGAAGAACCACTCGCCGCATTTGCTGGTGGAATGAAGGAGAGGCGGAAGATTGTACAGAATGGCATCGAGAAGCTTTTAAAGATTAAGATGCAGCAGACTCACGCTGTGAATAAGGTATACTCCCATAGGATACCCCCGTACAAGCCCTGTTACTTCACTACTCAATGCTAACGTATACTAGTCACGAGATAGATATGAACAGGACTGCCTTAGGATTAAAGGATACCTCGCCCAAGGCCATATGGTCATGGGACAGGAAGAGCGTAAAAACAAGGCGAAGCTTGAGAAGACCCAAATACAGCTGGCTTCAAATAGTAGCGAATATGAAGCTGCGATCAAGGTGCTGGAAGAGACTACTGGTCGATGGAATAAAGAGTGGAAAGCAGCATGTGATGTAAGTGATACCACGCCTCTTGTTTTTTTTTTAAAAAAAAGAGCGAAATTGATCACTGACTATCGCCGTTAGAAATTCCAAGATCTCGAGGAAGAAAGACTGGACTTTTCAAAAAGCAGTTTGTGGAATTATGCCAACATTGCATCAACTGCATGTGTTAGTGACGATGCAGTAAGTAAATGAGTGAAGTGCATACTGCTTTACTAGAGACTAACCCATTTTACTTTAGTCTTATGAGAAAATTCGAGTCTCACTAGAAGACTGTGAGGTCGAGAAAGACATCGCTTCTTTTATAAAGGAGAAGTCCACTGGACAGGAAATTCCTGATGCCCCCAAGTATATCAACTTTTGTCGAGGTGACTTGAACGACACAGCTTCTGAGGCGTCAGAGGAGGAAAACTACTCCATTGCGCAGTTTCAACGCACTATCAACCCTGCATATAGAAGCTCCTCGCCCCAGCCTTCTACTTACGAATCACACCATGACCCCGACTCGGAGCTTGCTCACCACATAATTCCATCTTCTCACCCTGCTCAGTCAAGCCGCGAAAACACAATGACACCCCAAAAGAAGCCCTCTGCTCCACCTCCAGCTTCTGGATCTCCTGCGTCAGACCCACGAAGGAAGCAGCATGTCCCTCCTAATTACCAGCCAAGCCAGCATGGTGAAATACCGGCTAGTATTCCCCATAACGAGTATCCAGCTGATGGCATGACGATGTTCTGCCGCCCCGGGCCACCTTCAGAAAGGAACACTGCTACTCCGTCAATTAGAGATTCTCAAAGTGATCTCTCTAACCCCACCTCCTTCTCGAGTATGGAGCCGCCGAGTGGTCATCAATCTCCAGTTAAGTATACTCCTGTCGGTACGCCGCCTGCTCCAGCTCCTGCACCAGCTCCTGGACCCGCTCCAGCCCCTGCCCCGGCCCCGGCCCCGGCCCCTACTCAGACCCAACCACCCAACTCAGCGACATCAACAAAAGAGGTCCAGAAAAAACGAAGTGGTTTCTTCAGCAACAGTCCATTCCGCAGAAAGAGCAAACATGAAAAGGATCGTCGGGCACAATCTGTTGCTCCTGCACCAACACAGAATCGCAGAACATGGGCTGCACCACCTAAACAGACAAGAGCTCTCTTGGGAACTCAGTCGGACTTGGGTCCAAAGCATCGGGCTCCCAGCCCGGAGCCTGTTGATCCCCGAGCAAATTTCCAACTGAACGTTGGAAACAACGTGTTTGACGTTGCATCCCCTGACGCCGCTAAGGCAAGCAAGGCCAAACCTACAAATGGGGATGTTGACCCAATTGCCCAGGCCCTCGCCGACCTGAAGGGTGTTGGAAAGCAGGCTTCTATTCGTGTATCTGCAGATAGATACGCAGGACTTGCAAGCCCAGCTCCCCCAGCGTCTACATCTGCACCTGCGCCCGCCCCAGCTCAAGCGCAATCTTCCGCTCCTGCTCCCGCTCCCGCGACTGCCCCCACCCCAGCTTCTGCACCAGCATCCAATAGGCCCTCTACTTCTCATCGTGAAGGCCCTCCTCCGTCATACAAGGATACGTCCGTCAAGCGCCTAGATGCGCCAGCGCCCGCTTTCACGGCCGCGCAAATGCACAAAACCACCCGCAAATATGTTGGTCAGGCTCAAAGTCTCTTCAGCAAACCAGTTCGTACTCGGGAAAGAGCCAATACTGTTGACCAGGTTATCCCGAGGGCTACATCCCCTCTTCCTAAGAGATCTCCGAGTCCTCAACCACAGCAGAATACTACTACACGCCCAGGCTCTCAACTCGGCAATGCTCCTCAGCCAAGAACACCTGCCTATAAGTCGGAGAGTATGAATAGTAGGTATAGACATTCGCACTCACAATCTGCCACTCCTACGAAGATTGTCCGGGAGCCCTCTCGTTCTCCTCAATACTCCCGTCAAGCATCTCCAAACGATGTGAGGCCAGAGGTACGCAATGAGTCTAGAACAGAGACTAGAAATACTATCCGAACTGAAGTCCGCAATGAACCACCACGTAATGAAGCAAGACAGGAGACACGGGCTGAGCCACCAAAAAATGAGGTTAGAAATGAAGTGCGAACCGAACCACCCCGACAGAAGTGAGACAAGATGCACGACCTGAACCACCGAAACAGGATGTTAGACAGGATGTAGGAAATGAACCACCACGAAACGAAGTGAGACCCGATACACGCAATGGAGTTCGTAATGATCCACCCCCCGAATAATGTCAGACGGTCTGCCTCTCCTCAACCCCAGTTCAGACGACCAGAACGGCCCGCAAGTGCAAGTGGAATGGAGCTCCAACTGTCGACCAATGATGTAAACCAGCATATGGGAGGCCACAACGACGGTTATCCGCCTTACCAGGGTGAGTATCAGGGAGGATATCAAGGAGGATATCAAGGAGGGTATCAGGGCGGATATCAGGGTGGAAATGTCTATGGCCATCATCAGCAGCAACGCCCTCACTCCATGTACTATAGCGCCACTCCAGACTACGGCCATGGGGCCCAGGATCAACATTCAGGAAGCAGGAGTGTGATAATGGCGGAAGCTCCAACAATCAGCCGCGATGGCAGGCCAATTCTTCATTTTGGTGAGTCTCACTCCATATTTACAACTTCGATAATCAGTCTTATCTAATTCTACCTCTAGCTCGTGCAATGTATTCTTATACTGCAGCCATCCCTGAAGAACTTGGGTTTGCCAAAGGAGACATCCTCGCCGTGCTAAGGCATCAAGACGATGGATGGTGGGAGGCTGAAATCACCAATCAGCCAACTCGTCCAGGCCTTGTACCCAGCAATTACCTTCAGCCTTGCTAAACTCTACCATTCCATCTAACTTAACTTCAAATCGCTCACTTTCCAGCCTTTTTACCCTTGGGTCTTTTGAATTAGTTATACCCAGTCATTTATCGGGGTTGATTGTACAATCTTGATATTTTCCCGGTCAATATGAGGACTTCATGCCCGTTCTCAATTTTTCTTTTCTGATTTCTTTGATTTTTTGTCCCTCGTACTCATTATTTACCCTATTGGCTCAGCCGTCACTTACTTGCACTGACGTTTCCCTGGTGATACTTTTCCCCCTTGTGTTCGGCTCACGCACTTACACTCCTTTCAGCCTTCTGAATATTTAACAACTTGATGACCATTTTGAACTTGCTTCAGCTACAAATCCACTCGACCCCTTTTTACGATATTTTCATTTGTTGCCACGCAAGTCATTCATGTCAGCAAGTGTATTACGCGTCTGTTATTTTTCCTTCCCTACTATGTATTCAATTTGTTAGCTATGACTTCCTTGATAATGCAGCCCCATATCCATAGATGCTTTCGGTATTACGCCTTTTAGAGTGATAGACGTAAATTATGCGTATTCTTCTATGGTAACTATATACAAAAAAAAGGAGAAAAGAATAGAAAAAAAAAAAAAAAAAAAGCTAATTGGGATGCTAGGGCGGGTAATAGGTCGTATACATTTAATAGAGTGAAAATATGCGTCAGAGACAGCAAAAATATGATAGATAAGGGGAGTATTGAAGAAAGTAAATGTAAACATAGATGAGCGACGGGTATTATTAGAGGGCATGAGAAAACTCGCCAGGGTTTATCCTAAGTAGTTACCTATAGCAGACTCTTTTATAGGTGGTATCACTCGTCATCAACAAAAGAGTTGGCTAAAGGCCCAAAGACAGGAACTTGATAATGTTCCAAGGAATCGACTATACTGATGTCAGTAGTTTAATAGATGTAAAGCATATATATCTACTCACCGTCACGGTAGGCATGCATGCTCAGGAACCCAATAAGGCCAAGGTTGAATATGAACAACAACCAGGATATAGTACTTGACCAAGCAAATAACATATGAGCAACCTAGGTTTTGTTAGAAATAAAGGCGAGGGGAGTATAAATATCGGTATGCAGAAAGATATCCGTACAAACATAAAGGTGAAAAGCAAACTAGATTGCCATGCATGGAATCTATTTCACAAGTCAGAACAGCACATATATATTTCACTAAGAAGGTCTAGGAGACGTAGAACATACCGCACATAATCACTCTTATGCTCCGTCAAAAGTAAAAATACCCCTCCTGCTGGAGGTAACAAGAGGTATGCCAGCATAGCTTCGTAATCCATACGTAGTGGGAGACTGGTCTCGAACGCGCCCAAGCTCATACGGCCTCCCTCAATGTCTCTTCCATAGCCGTATCCAAACCCTTGCGCATTATTTTGTGTGTTTCTGTCAAGGTTTGATGAGTTCCGTGGGTGGTTTTGGTTCAGTGGTGAGGGTGTGTGACGGGGAGAAGCAGTATGTATGCGGTTGGCATTTGCGAGGGGCGGGGAGAGCGCGCGCTCGATGTCGGGGGACTGGTCCTGGTAGGGCGCGAAGTTCATGGTCGTTAGAGCAAATCAAGATGTAGTCTAGGGCATGCTCATGCTCATGGGTAGAGGTGTTGATATCTTTACGTGGATAACTTTTTGAATGTGGTTGCCTCTCCATGTGGTCAACTGATGCTGTAGGTAGCTAGTTAGCTAACTTAAGTTTTTGGTGTTATTATCCCGAAGAGCTTAAGACGCGGGAGGCTTGGCGTGATGTAAATACGTCACTATGCTACGTAGCTGCTTGGGGTTGACAGTCTATACATTTGATGAAGATGGCTCTTCTCACTCATTTCTAACATTTTTTTGAGGGTATCGCGCTTGTATGTCTATTTACATTGGCTTGGAGGGTAGTCGTCACACGGCCCTCGTACCCTTCCCCGGCCCCTTGCAATCGCCGAGGTTCTCCCATACTCGACACCAGCTCTTCTGGCAGTAGGTATCCCCCTTGTAGTACTCGTAGGCACTCGTGTAGAAGGCTGTCCAGCCTGTGTTCGAGAAATGCTTTGAGTGCGACTCACTCCTGTTCGTGTTGTGGACGGCCTCGCAATGCCGCGCCTTGCCCTAGTGGTTGACGATGTTTGTGCTGTTCGCCTCCGCTGTTCTTCCTCGGCCTTACGTTCTTGTGCTAGTTTCCGCTCTTGGAGCTCAAGTTCTCTTCGCTCTGCCTCTTGTTGTCGTTCACGAGCCTCGGTCTCTATATCGGCCATATCTTGAGTAGCACCCTGCCACGATGGATCTAAAACGAGTCTTCTGTTATGCTCCGTCTGGGAAAGAATGCGAGTCCAGGTGTCAAGTAGGGTAGAGGCAGAGGAAACCGTCCGGGCAACGCTCTAACACAGACTCATGTTAGCAGTTAGGCATTTCCAGTATATGACAGAAGTCCATACCTCCATGTTTCCCTTTGCACGTTCCAGGCTTTCAACAACGCCTTCTATCACAGAATTGATATCTCGTACCGACTTGAGCTCTGCCCGCAGAGCTGTTTCTCTATCGTCCTCTTCCCGTGCCTCTTCGCTGGTGTATTGGTGGTAGCTCTCCTTTGCCTGTCGCGAACCTTGTTCTGTCCGCGCATCCCAGCCGGGCTCTTCCTTCTCCTGTAGTCGTAACCCGTCCATCTCTGCAGTGGGTGTCCCCATCTCTCGCAGCTCTTCCTCCTTGTCCCTTCGTCTCTGCTGTTCCTTTGCTTCCTGTCTTCCTGTCTTTCTCTCTTGTCCCTCCCAGCTACTATCTTTAAAATGTCAAAGTGGGAGCAAAGACCACGCTAAGCCCCTTTGGGCCTTTGTTGTTAGTGGGCCGTGCGCGTCCCTGTTTTTGCCTTTTTTAGTTTTGTGTGGCTGGAAAGACTAAAACGGCAATTTTCAACTTCATCTCTTACCAACCACCAGATTTTCTTCTTCCTCAGCACTTTGTATACACAGGAAAGAAGACAAGCAACCAGGCAAACAGACACTAAGAGACAGACACTGGAGTCAGAGCAGTGTGAAAGCAGCTGTGGACGAGTACTTGAGCATCGAGACCGCGCTTTACCACCTATTTTGTTCCCCGGAACCACCCAGCCCCATGAGAACGTGATAGTCGAGGACAGCGATAAGACCCTACATACAACAAACACCCTGTTTTGGCCTGGTAACCAGGTAACCAGCAACCACGCAAAGATGACTACCACCCCGCCGTCGTCGTCCGCTATCAGGACTCCTCCCACTCCTCGCTACGGCTCTCGATACGACAACTACGAGCCGTATTCCCCTCGTCGCTCCAAACGCATTGCTGACCAGCAACATCTGTTCAGTGGCTCTGCTGCTACTCTAGACGCGAGTACGACTGGTCTTGTTAAAGAACACGCCTTAAGACGCGATCAGGAGCTACATCAGCTTGGCATCAGTGGTAGAGCTACTTACTCTCCACCACACTCACAAGTTAGCTCTCCTAAGCGAAGAAGTGAAAGACTGGACATGAACTCTCCTTCTCTTTCACCACCACCAAAGAACAGCAGAGTCAGATCTAAACCTCTTTCATCTTCACTTCCTCACTCCTCTTCCTCTTCTTCTTCTTCTTCCTCATACAGAAGCACAATGGATGCCAATACCAACAGCAGCTTGGCTGCCAACGGAATGCTTCCTACGCCGGCGAAGACTCCTCGTAAGAAGCAAATCGAAGACCTTGGACCTACAGCTCGCACTCTATTTTCCAGCAGCTCCAAGCCTGCCCAGGACCCAGCAGCCATGATGCCCAAGCGTTCCAAGAAGTACTCAGGTTTTTCACTTGAGAGCTTTGAGACCGACCCTCAGCAGGCTCGTCAGGAGCCTATAGCTATCTTTACCGACTCTCGAGATCGAATTCCCCAAGTGAACAATAGCCCAGACAATCCCTTCCGCAGCAAGCCTGCTGATGGTGAACCATCCTCTTCCAAGCTTTCCGCAGACGCTGGCAAAGGCAGGAAGCTCGACGAAAGTAGTCGCAAGCGGGACAAGAACGTGGACAAGGCTATACGTCGAGATGACGGATTACTCTATGTTTTGTAAGTGTATCCAGCGTCTCATTTATTCCAGGTTACTTTTGATGCTAATTATTCTCCTTAGCCGAGGCAAGAAGGTGTTCCGCAAGTTCAAACCGGAGGTAGAGGAAGAAGAAGATGATGATGATGACTTGGGTCTTTTGGCATCTCGCAGCGAACTCACATCCGAGTCTATACCCCGCATCCGCCCTCTGACCCGTTCATCCATCAAACCCCGTGTCCTGTTCCCTGAAGCTAGAGCCGCTCCTGTTACCCGTGAGAAAGAAGAAGAGCCGAACACCCCGTCTACCATAGTTGAAGCAGAGGAGGAACAAGATGAAGAGCCGGATGAAGAGCCAGTTGAAGAGTCTGCTGAAACTGCCAACCAACCAGCCACTGCTCATGA